GATAAATATATAGAGTCCTACTTATCTTGCCTAACAAGCTAGGCTAGATATTTATTTACTTACCAACTATAATAAAATAACTAAGGTAATAAAATAAAAGGGAACATTACTAATAGGAAATAAATAATCTAAATACGAAGCCTATCATATTTATTTAGAAACGAAATCGCGGTCTCGTCTCCATCACGTATTCATCTTATTATAGAACATATTCATCTTATTATGTAACATGTTCATCTTAGTATATTCAACATATTCATCTTATTATATAACTTATTCACCTTATTATAAAACATATTCATCTTATTATGTAATGTAACAAGTTCATCTTAATTATTAACATGTTGAATATATTATGCAACATATTCATCTCATTATACAACATATTCATCTTATCGTGTAACTTGTTCATCTTAATTTTTAACATGTTCAACGAATTACGAAACATATTCATCTCATAATGCAACATGTTCAGCTTAGTATATGTAAAATGTTCATCTTATTATGTATGTAATGTATTCATCTTATTATAGAACATATTCAACTTATTATGTAACATGTTCATCTTAGTATATGCAACATATTCATCTTATTATATAACATACTCACCTTATTATAGAACATATTCATCTTATTATGTAATGTAACAAGTTCATCTTAATTTTAACATGTTCAACGAATTACGAAACATATTCATCTCATAATGCAAGATGTTCAGCTTAGTATATGTAAAATGTTCATCTTATTATGTATGTAACGTATTCATCTTATTATAGAACATATTCACTTTATTATGTAACATGTTCATCTTAGTATATGCAACATATTTATCTTATTATATAAAATATTCAACTTATTATAGAACATATTCATCTTATTATGTAATGTAACAAGTTCATCTTAATTTTTAACATGTTGAATATATTATGCAACATATTCATCTCATTATACAACATATTCATCTTATCGTGTAACAAGTTCATCTTAAATTTTTAACATGTTCAACGAATTACAAAACATATTCATCTCATAATGCAACATGTTCAGCTTAGTATATGTAAAATGTTCATCTTATTATGTATGTAACGTATTCATCTTATTATAGAACATATTCATCTTATTATGTAATATGTTCATCTTAGTATATGCAACATATTCATCTTATTATATAACTTATTCACCTTATTATAGAACATATTCATCTTATTATGTAATGTAACAAGTTCATCTTAATTTTTAACATGTTGAATATATTATGCAACATATTCATCTCATTATACAACATATTCATCTTATCGTGTAACTTGTTCATCTTAATTTTTAACATGTTCAACGAATTACGAAACATATTCATCTCATAATGCAACATGTTCAGCTTAGTATATGTAAAATGTTCATCTTATTATGTATGTAACATATCCATCTTATTATAGAACATATTCATCTTATTATGTAACATGTTCATCTTAGTATATGCAACATATTCATCTTATTATATAACATATTCACCTTATTATAGAACATATTCATCTTATTATGTAATGTAACAAGTTCATCTTAATTTTTAACATGTTGAATATATTATGCAACATATTGATCTTATTATATAACAAATTAATCTCATTATGTAACATGTTCATCTTAAATTTTAACATGTTTAATGTATTATGCAACATATTCATCACATAATGCAACATGTTCATCTTGGTATATGCAACATGTTCAGCTTATTATAGAAAAAATTCATCTTATTATGTGACATGTTAATCTTAAATTTTAACATGGTCAATGGATTATGCAACATCATTCAAAAGTTTGCATGGCATATAATAAACATATCCCTATCCAAAACACACACCAAATAAAAATACAGCATAATTAATTAATTTAGAAAGACAAAATAGAATAGTTTATACCGGTCACATCAACTACATAATAATCCTAAACACCAGCTGATCTCCTCCTAGCAGCACAAATGAACACTAACAACCTTCCATCAATCCATTACCTTCGCTGAATTGACGAGCATCCTCGTGTTAGATTAACTTTTTACCATGCCTTTCAGTTACATCCAAACGGTAAAAACACTGGTCAGTCAAACAATAAGCTTTCTTTTTTAAACACCTTTCATCTTTGATGTGCATATTCCAGAACGCCATGGGCATGAACTGTACAAACTGCAAAATTATTAATCTTATTAAGGACCATTTACCACAACAATTCTATGATGAAATTAGACAAATTCAAACATGCAATTATCAGGCGAGCACGTTCAAAATGAGTTTTCTTTACTTGAAGCATAAACCGATATTGCGGGCGCTCTTTCCACACCAGCTCTCGTTAAAGCTTGATGCATTGATGCGTTCAAAGTGAACAGTAAATTCATTCCTAAATCTTTCTTTGTGAATGAAATCCTCCTGCAACCATCCACAAATTGGAGTTTGTTATCCAAGTACTTCGTAACTACTTCATAAACACAACCTTCTTTGGTAGTTAGAGTGCACCATAGAGGTAGAATATCACGGTATTCATCTTCCGAAATTTCACTCAACACTTATTGCGAAAACAAACATTGAAAGACCTCATACTTACGA